TCAAGATAATTTTAATAAATAAATATACATAATTATGTCGTTTTATGCTAGAAGCAAAATTTTAATAATGTCTACTTTGAAAGAAAGTAACTTAAAACGGGACAAAGAAAAAACGAAGTTTCATCGTAAGTACTTGCCTTTACGTATACACTCAATATCGATAAAAGCTCTCTCTCTTTCTCTATATATATAAATGTATTACGCAATACTTCTTTTTTAATTTAACGTTTATTAAAACACCATCTGCCTTCTTGGATTATTAATTATACGCGATAAAGCGATTATATAACCGGTAGTTGCAATTATGATTTAATCGTACCTGAACCAAAAGAAGCACCCGCTCGCACTACTCTTTGCACTTCTTATCGGTCGAGATATACCGATTTTAATAAGCGCTTAGACGTACTCTTTCTACCACCATCACCACCACCTCCTGCCATCCCTCTTTTATATTACTTGCAAATCCATGAATAAATTAACATGAACGGCGTCAATTTTATTTCCTGTGTTAGAATGGGTAAGAACGTTTCCTATCCTCCTAAAGTAATTTACCTTTTGCCGATTTAAGTCTCGTCGTACAATGCGTTACTTTGAATGCACTTTTGAAAAGTTAGAGGAGTCTCGGTAATAGTCGATGAATTCTAACAATCGATAGATCTTTTCTCTCTCCTATAATTATCGTTGAAAGTTCCATTCTAAACGATCGTTTATAAAACTTAACGATTCATCGAACGAACGTTCTATTTGAATTTTATTACTGTACCTATTGCAATAACATTTATTTACGTTTCATTCGCTTTGACTAACACCGACGGAAATGGATGAAAGGCAAAACACGGCTTTTGAAAAGATAAAAAAAAATAAAACAGGCAAACAATTTGTTTATGGTCAAACGTAAAGCGCGTATATATATATATATATATATATATATATATATATATATATATATATATATATATATATATATAAGTATATATGTTTTGAGTAATTAATTACACGTCTATGGATACTTCAGAACAGTTGGTAGTAGTTTATCGATAATTGTGAATACCATTCGGCAAAGGAAATTTTCCGAGCACCCTCGTGATAGGCAAGCCATTATACACTTATGCACGTATTACCAAGTTACATAAATACGGAGGCTTGAAAATATTTAACAAATTAAAAACATGTAATATCAAAGAAAACAAGAAACAAATAGAAGATAATAAATTATATGAAAACAATCTTTTCATCGCGTAGACAAATATTTTAAAGATCTGATAAGTTTCTCGTTTTATTTTAAAGATTTAATTGTAATTGTATTCATGAACGAGATATATAATATATATATGTGAAACTATATTTTTAAATTAATAACAATCGATCGAATAATCGTACAATTAACTATTGTGAACGTTTCATACAAATCCTCCTAAAATCACACAACCCGACACAATTATCGACTCGATACAATTTGCCGTGGGACGTTGATTGCGATATCAAGAACACCGCTCATTAGTCTCAATCGTCGGTTTCGGACGGTTGGACATAAAATCAAGTATCGCGACGGTCTGTAAGCAGCTAGTCGTGGCAATGGTAATGGTAGTGGTGGTGGTGGTGGTAGCGGTGGTAGTGGGAGTGTGGAACACGCCTTCGGGATAGCATCGTGAATTATTGGCAACCTGCAATTCGAACCTGTAGGAGGAAGAAGAGAAGGATGAGGACCAACCGAATGGGTAGAAGAGAGAGAGAGAGAGAGAGAGAGAGAGAGAGAGAGAGAGAGAGAGAAATTGGCTTAGCCAACGTAGCAGCACATAGTTAACACGACTCGTATCGCGAAACTGTGCGTGTACGCGTACCAACCACCCGCTACTTGCGTTGTATTATACGTTACAGATGGGCAGAGAATGAGGGTGGGGTGACAAGAGGAGGAAAAGGGGTTGGCAAGAGGTTGGAAGGGGGATGAGTTGAAGGCTAGAAACTGGCGAAACACGGCAACTCACCAAGGTGGTTAAACTAGCCACGGCAATAGGCTATTATAGATCCGTATATACGTGCACCTTCAGAATGCGTTCGCAGCTCGAGGTAGCTGTGCATAGCTGTGCGAACAACGCGGCCAACATCACACACTCAGAGAGAGAGAGAAAGAGAGAGACATAAATATGCATGCGTGGCTACATAGAGAACTATGGACGTCTATACTTACACATGTAGAATACCATGAATTATCTAAGCCAACCAACGATGTTTCCCTTTTATTCTATTCTCATTCCTCTGAATTTTTATTTCAAATAATCTTTTTCCTCGTTTTTTAATTAATTTTTGTTTTTATAAACTATTCCAATATAAAATTGAAGACAATTAAATGGAATTATAATTTTCTGTTGAATTAATTTCAATTATAACGCTACATCAGACTTGATTCATAAAATTGTATCTGAATGTTGGTAAAGTGATTCATAGAGAAGATTCGATGAGCATACAAATTAGGAAGGAAACATCAGAGATAGTATCGCTGACCTATCTCTAAAGGGCTCGGAACGTCGTCATCGTCATCGTCATCACCATCGTCATCGCAAGTGCCAATGTTTGGCTGAGATTTGCATATGTCTGTCAGGTTTGACCGTTCTCTAACCGTTCGCTTCCTTGTTCCTAGGTGTGTATCCCTTTGTCAAAGTAGGGGGATACCCTTCCTTCCTTCCTTCCTATCCTATACTGCTTCTACTATCGGACCGTAGCTACTATGTTACATAACGTTCATGCCAGTCTCTCCACGCGAGATCGTCCATTAACTCATCCAAAATAGGCTATTGTCCTAAGATCGTGTTCCAAGGACAACGATGCTTAACACTCTGATTCCATACCTCCGATCATCGGGATCCCTAGACTATTCCTACCTTTTTAGTTTCTAACAATTTCTTTCTAATTTTAATCCTAACTTTTCTAATTAATTATTACATCTTTAAATAAAATTAAACGCGTATATAAGCTCGAAAACATTACGAGTATATATACGGGTATGTATATTTCTTTTTAATTCCAATCATTCATAGGAAAACGAAAGTCGAATGCAAATAAAATTATTGCTAAAAATTTGAGAGATTAACAAACGTTCTCTCTTTTTTTTTTTTGCGTATTTTATTATTTTCCATATTTTATTGTGTATCCTCGTACCGTAATGGAAAAACAACAAGGAAAGAAAGAAAGAACAAAAAAAATAAAACAAGTATTTTTACAACAAACAACAGTGTATGCAATAATTCTTCAAATATTTACCATATTTTTCTTCCAAATAGTGAATGTAAATCTTGTAACACAACGATTGCGATTGTCTACCAAATTTGTTAAAAACTTTCTGATTAATTAATTCGAGTGAATATCAAAGATTTTAAAGAAGGAAAATATTTAACGAATTAATTAATACAATAACACCCAACACACGAATTGTAGAATTATGAAGGAAAGGTGTTAAAACAAAACTCGTTATCAGCTGTTTTACTCGTTCGATTCGAGTTGGCTGAACTCTCTCTCTCTCTTTCTCTCCCTCTCTTTAGTGTGACAAACATGTCACACGACTAGGAGCAAGAGCAACGCGAAAACAACGACTTGGTAGTGCCCGAGGATAAGGGAATTGTGTTTACTCGTCGTTTGCATACCAGTTGACACGTTTACCGCCCACTTTAGGCGTAACATCGCTCCGAGCATCTTCACTCGAGGTACCCTTTGTTCTCTGAGTAAAGACCTTTACTTTTTGCTTTTCTCATTATCCATCTCTTTTTTTATCTATCCACTTTCTAATTTTCCTAAATTGATCTACGTTCTATCTTTAATAATCGAAGGGAAAATTTAACAACAAAAAATAAAATATATATTTAAACATCCATTACCATTTAATTATTTTATTTTTAACTCTTCATCGAAACGCGTTCGTGTGCTTTGTTATATTTTGTATGTTTCTTTCTTTCTTTTGGTTTTCATGGCTTTTATCTCTCAATTTTTTGCAATAATTTTATTTATGTACAATTTTATTTTTATATGAATGAATAGAAAGAATGAAAAAAATAACTCGTCAAATATGAGAGAGAGAGAGAGAGATATTTAATTTAAAAATCTTCAACATTCAACTCTTATCGTGAAAATCTACGAGTTTAAAAAAAAAAGATCAATTATCATTTTCAGGACAAAAAGAACAACGAAACTCGTCGACAAGCTCGTGTAATAAATTACAAAAACTAACAAACGTGAATAATAACGCGTAAACAAACGGGGTGATAAAATTTATTTCGTTTTTTCTTCTTATCGTTGAAAATAAATAAAAATACAAATCATACGAATGAAAAATTTCATTCTCGATTATGAATATCATCGAGAAACATTCCAAGCCTAAAATCAAAATTTCTGATATCCTACATTGACATATGTACTCGCATGTAAGCTTAAATATGTATATGTGTATACGTATGCATGTATGTGGTATAGTTAAACGCATTGTTTGCTCGTATACACATGACATATACACACTGGGATCTCATTATTGTGCAATATGATAACTGCAAGGTCCAGCATCTACATACAGGTAGCTGATAGGACAACAAGGTACATCGTGTACGCTCACCTGTATTGTGTTTACCTTTAGTTAGCATACTAGTTATCGCGTTTACCAGACATACCGCGATAAAATGTACCCCCTCATCCCATGCAAGCAAATTATTTTCAGTCAAGGTCTTGGACATCTTAACGATCGTAAGAATATCTTTTTTTCTTTTTTGGAAAAAATAAATAAATAAAAGTAAAAATAATTATTCTTTTCCTTTTTTGTTTTTGCAACAAGCTCCCTGCCACGTATATACCGTTTTTGTAAACAAGAAAACAAAATGCAATGAAATAACCAAATTTATACGAAATGATTTATCTCAATGAAATAATAATAATTGATTTCATTGGCAATAGTTTCCGACATATATTATTATTATTCTTATATCTGATTCGTTAATAATTTTTCTTTTTTACCTTCTCAGAAAATAAGTTTCAGTCAAACTTAAACGAGATCGGAAAGTCGGAACAAAAGTCAAACGACCTGGACAGGAAAAGGAATTACGATTGGCCCACCGACAACAACGGTAAGTCTAATAATTATCTAAAAAGAAAATCAAAGAAAAGAAAAAAACAGAAGAGAAAAAGTAAGAAAATAATGAATAATATGAAAATAATTCGATTAACTTTTAAATTTTTATTCCAAATGAAACTATCTCAAATGAAATTACACATACGCGCGCATGCACACACACACACAACCATAGACGAATGGAAAGAAGACTTCAAAAAACTAGGCCTTTTAAACTATAATCACCCCTTTGAATTCATTCTTTTCCAAGAGTCCTCTCATTTGAGAAAAAAAAAAGAAAGAAAAAAATAAATCAAATAAAATGAAAGCGCAAATAAAATCGATTGGTTTTTTAACACAATTGTAGTCACAGTTGCATCTTATTCGGCCAATTAAAAGTAGCCTGAACAGAATGTAACGGATATCGGGACAAAGTAACGAGCTAGTAAGGATCGTTAGGGGTGTAAAGTTCGATCATTGGCATCCCCTAACTCTTAGCTACCACTATTCCCACCTTCTACCCTCTTCCAACTCACTCACTCGAATTCACCAATCCTTACTCATAGACGACGTTCAATAGAAATCCAACATAGAATGAAAGTAACGAGTGAAAAAGGGATAGAAAAAGAAAAGAAAAGAAAAGATCAAGAAAAAAAAAGAAAAAAAATAGAATTCAATGAATAAAATAGAGAAGAAGTAAATAAATAAAAAAAAAAAAACAAAAAGAAAAAAGGTAAGAAAGAGAGAAAGAATATTAGCCGAAGGGAAAGGAAACAAATGCCGTTGGTTTGGCAAGGCGAATTCGCGGTTTTATCCGATCATTCTTGGGTGGCATTTAAACGACAGGGAATCCCACCACCACCACCACCACTATCACCACAATTACAATTACAATCTATCTCGGTACTCGCACACATACACAGAGGAAAGTAAATTCTACGTCTGACTCGGCCGATGGTCCTTCAGAAATTCCTTCGCAAGGCCTTCGGGGCATTATCGGATATTTCGTTCCTCGCTTACATTTTTTCCCCCTACCCTTTTTTTCATCAGTCAGCCCTCTCTCTCTATCTTCTTTCCTTCAAATCCCCCTGCAGCCCTCTCATCAGCCAACTTCAACCTCGGAAAGAGCTCGGCATCGATATCGTCGCACTCCCGTGGTTTCTTTTAAAAGGAATTTGCATAATGGCAAAGTGTGAAAATCCGTCCTCTGTGTGAACCAGAGAGAAAGAGATCTCTTTCTCTCATACATATACATACACACATACTTTTTTATATTACTATGGGGTATGATCACGATGGCCCTTGGAGAGTAGGTAATTTCGTGTAGAGAAAGAAAGAATCAAAAATGAAGAGGGTAAAAGTGTACAAGCTTGAGGTTAAAACTTTCCTCGCAAGCTTTTACTACTTAACGCTTGAATTCGTGATCTCGTGGAAGTTTTTTTTTCTTTTATTATTAATTAATATTGTTCATCTGGTAGAGAGACACGATCGAAAAAATTTGAATTCCTTAAAACTACGCGGTTTTTTCTTTTTCTTTTTTTTGGGAAAGAGGTGGAGGAGAGACAGGAATTTTCTTTTTTATTCACGCATTACCCCGTTCTACGAGAGAAAATTTGATTATCGATTAAAATTTGTTGATAGAAATACTTTTAATTTGAAGTTAACTTGATGTAAGAAGAGTGACGTTTAATTTTTCAATCCACCCATCCATCCTCCCATCCATCCATCCGTCCGTCGCATCTTTTTTTTTTATTTTCCTACGAAGAGTAGAAAAACTAATCGGGGAAGGGGGGTATGTCATATTTTTCCGGAAAATTTTCATTAACAAGCAAGGATTTATGTATCTACGCCTAAAAATACCTCTATATAAATTCCGTTAGTTCGTAGTTGTCCTGACACGCTAGATTCGAACGACGAATCTCATTAAAATGCTTCTCTCTGATTCTCTCGTACTATCGCACCGGAGAACTATGTAGCTATTCCCTCCCTCCCTCCTCCCCCTCCTCCTTTTCCTCTTCCTCGAATGTAGAAACATTGAATAACTTTCGAAAAATATCGCTTTCCGATATAGCCTCCCTCTCTTGTTTTATGAGTTGCCCTATGTCGAAGTGCAAAGCTTTAAATAAGAGTTATAGGATCGTTCTTTTGACTATTTTTTGTTTTCTTTTTCCGAATGCAACAATGTTTTTTACATTACATCGTACGTACAAATAAATAAATAAAAAAAAAATAAATAAAACTCCACGGGGAGACACACAATTTTGCAATAACTTATTTGTTATCTATAAAAATAAAAGATTTGACTATCAACGTTGTTTCAATTGAAAAGATTCTAATCTCAACTACGAACGCACGTACGCACGCACGCACACCCACGCAAGCATAGACAAATTTTTAAATATTCAAAAATATAATATATAATGCAAAACTATCTAAAAATTGAATGATCAATAACAAACCCGTAAAGAAAAATTTGTCTTATAGAGTAAAAAATGAAATGTAAGGAAAAACGACGAGTACCTTAAGTGGAAAATACGATGAAAGAATGAAAAAGAAAAATAGAAAAAAAAGGAACAAGAAGAAGATGATGAGACGGAAATAGCGAAGGGGAGCAATTTTCTTTCTCTTTTACTCTCCCTCCCTCTCTCTCTCCCTCTCTCTCTCCCTCTCTCTCTCTCTCTCTCTCTCTCTTTTTCTCTGTTTCTCTTTAGTCGAGAAAAAAGGGGAAAAAATGAAAGAAAGGATTAATTCGGCTGAGACGGAAAACTTTCGCGCCGACTGCCTTGTTTCTCATTGCTAATTAAAGATGAGTGAAAAGATGAGAGAAAGCAAGAAATAACCTTCCTGGAAATACGCTTTTTTTCGAACCGAGTAATAGCTGAAGGTACAACAGAGATAAAAAATAAAAGAGAAATGAAAGAAAGAGAAAGAGAGAGAGAGAGAGAAAGATAAAGAAAGAAGAAGGGTTTGAACGAAGCGAAAAAATAACTGACTTCCGGCTCGACTTTCGTAGCTTTTCTATCCTTCTTCCTCTTCTTCTTATTCTTCTTCTTCTTCTTTCCTTTTCTTATTCTTTTTATTTTAACCTTTCCCCTTTACCTCCTTATTCTCCTTAGAAAAAATCAGAGTATGACGTTGGTTTAAGGGTGACTCGGTACAAGGTGGAGTGGGGTGAAGGGTTGATACTGGAGTGGTTGCATCAAAATAAAAAGAAAAAAGAGAGTCGTGCGAAGACACGACTCTCGAGTCTTTTCAATTGACTTCGACGTTTCCTTCAACGATAAGATTTCTGTCTTTCTTTCTTTCTTTTCATCTTTATCCTTTTCTTTTACTTTTTTTTTAATCGTGAAAATAAATTTATGCTGTCTTGAAAATACCAGTCAGTTATACAGTTATTCTGTAATGAATAATATTTATGACGTTTATTTTGTAAAGTTATTTTTATGTTAAACATTTGAAACATTTCTTTTCAATAATTTAATAAAATGTAATAACAATTTATGATATATAATAAAATTTCATATTTAAAACTTTTATTTAATTAGATTAAATTTTTTTACATAGCAAAGAATATAATTCTTTCGTTACATGCAAAAAAAGGCCCTTTTTTTTTAAATTAATATATAAAAATATATTTTCATTTTGCAAATAATAGAAAAGAAAATGAATTGTTTTAACGACTAAGAAATATTTCTAATTTAATTAATATTATTATATTGATCATTTTACAGATGCTGCCGTGTGCATTACGACGACAGGTGCAGCGATAGCACTGACAATGAGCCTAATTATGACGACGATCATTCGATAAGTGTCGAAACTACGAATGGGACAATCGTCGTCCGCTTATTCTGTAATTATGGACTACGTTAATAATAAACGAAACAAACAATTAAATAATAACAAGGAGAAAGAAGAAAAACACATAGCCACGTATATGCGCGAGATTAGAAACCCGAAAAACATGCACATTACACGTACACAGCGTATACAAACACGTACACGAAGAAAAAAAGGCATAAAGACTGACCGTGTAGTTAGTGTCGTATTAAAAACAAAAAAGAAAAAAATAATAAAAAACAAACCCTAATTAAAAGAAAAACAAACAAACAAAAGAAAGAAGAAGAAGAAGAAAAATCTACAAAGATGTATGTGTTTAGTAATAAAATACGAGTAAAACGAAATAAAAAGGGGTTTGAAACTTGTTATTGAAAATTGATTTTACGCGTGCCAAGTTGAGTGCGAAAACGAGGGATAAGAAAAATTGTTTAATTAAAAAGAAGAAAAGAATAAAAAGAGAAAAAAAGAAAAGAACAGACGGAACGAAAAAAATAAAGAAAGAAGAAATGAAAAGGGAAACGAAGTAACGTGTAACTAAATTAAATGAAACGAACGATCAATGGCAAATCACAAAGTGCAACGACTATCGCTTTCAATGTAAAAAATATTGTATAACGCCGTAATATCACAGTAAACGAAAGATAAAAAAGTAAAAAAAAACAAAAATCATTAAAAAACAAAAAAGAAATAAAATAAAATATTCATGCCGCGCCAACAGACCCTCACCCTCTAACCCCATCCCCCTGCTCGCCCTCGACCCCTAACACAGAATCAGCACAGCGAAATAAGAAGGAAAGAAGAAGATTGTTTACGTGCGAATCGATTCTTTTTCTTTTTTTATATATTTCTATAATATATTGTATAATAATAATAATAATAATTATTATTATTATTATTATTAAAATTAT